CGTTGTATATAATAAAAATTCTTTTGCTAGACCTTCAGTATGTCTATTAGATACCCGTTTGATGGAAAAACATGTGATGTCATGATGACGTCACCAAAATGTACGATTTTTAATTCTACATATTAGGCAATGTCAGATCCTTGTGAAATTCACTCAGTATGTTAACAGTCAGTCCCTGACAGCGTTTCTGAAGTGTTGTCATTATGACCTCATTCGTTGATTTTTAATTAGTTTTTAAGATTTACATGTATACAAATTTGCATGTACGTGACTACTTTCTTCCTGTCATAATTTCTGGAACTTAATCAACTCCAATTACTTCCAAATTCTGCAGAAAAAAACGCAAATTTCAATTCACTAATTTCAGATGTACATGTACATGTATGTGCAGATTAGCACGATTTGTAATTAACCACTTCCTGCCGGGGCAGTTATCAATGTTGATGATGCTGGGCCGGGATATTTATCATTTTTTTTCTGTTTTCAAAATTCTTTAAAAATTCCTATCTACATTTACTGGATACTAACAAACATGTGAAAGACTGTCTGGCGTCCACTCTAGCCTGATGGACAAATGCTATTGACTCCTGAATATTTCAGCCAGGCCTGCAGCCTTGTAAACAGAGCCCAGATTGTGCAGTGTTATATAACTTTATTTTGTTCACAATCTGGCTCAGTGTGCTGCTGACCTCTTTTCAATAGGGACCAGATTAGTATGCAGTGGGCTGTGTGGCTCATCACTGCGGTGGTGGAGTGCTTTTGTCCCCGGTGGCTCTAATTGCCCCAAACCGTGGTATACTGTTTCAAAACAAGGCTGGATTATCTCCACTTTTGAGAGTGAAAAAATGTCAGTAATGCCCAGCAGCCTGGTTTTTTGTGTTCAGAGTATGGTCTTTTGTTACAAGGCCCTGTTCCTTTTGTCCAAGTTCGGAGACCCCAGGCTACGCATATAAAGCATAGTGTCCGGATCCGGAATCCCCGGCAAAAAGTGGCTAAGAGACAAGTATGAAGCAATAGCACTATTTACTAGTAAAATCGTGTGATATAATTTGTGTACTTGGTGACCTTTGCCCTCAATTTGGTGCATACTAGGCATGTACAAACACTTGCAGCCACTACCAGGGCACATGTGAGGAAATGCCCTGTGCCACGCAGTTCATGCTAGTTCCAGCTTCTGTGGTCTGAAAAAAAGTAAGGACTGGCCCGATGACTGGGACTGTGGGAATCACCCTTTATAAAAGACTTTTTTCTCAGAATTAAATAGCTCACAAAATATACAAATGATGCTTAGAAAAGGCTCTTTATCCGCAGCAGCTCTGTGGTTGTTCACAACCGCATTCCTCTAGTTTTTATTTTGTGGTTTTTTTTCTTTTGTATTGTTTTTAATTTTGTTGAGGTTGGTCATTATCGCACCTTATCCATGTGCATGTACATGTATACATATACCGCACATGTACATGTATACATATACCGCACATGTACATGTACTTGGTCTTGGTCCGTGTCCTCTTAGTGATTTTTTTTTCTGATTAATGAATGCAGTAAATACATACATGTACGTGTAGTTTATGTACATACCGGGAGTTTCATTATGGCAAACACCAAGTTAATAATTGTTGGTACTACACTTCATGAATGTGCAAGTGATGTTCATGTACTGCTACCATATATTGTAAATCTGTAACTGCCTTTTTTGGCGAGCTGCGAAGCAAGTGCAAGACTATGTAATACTGATAAACGTCTTCTGTCCGTCCATCCATCTGGCTGGCCGGCCTCAAATGTTTAAGTTTTTCCTTGCAGGTCCATAGGTGTTAAAGTGTGCCATTGAGTGCTAGTTTGCTTCCGCTTGGAATTCCATCAGTAGTTAAATAGTCTCATATGTAATTAATGCTTAGAAACTGATGAATATCATGAAAAATGAAATAAATTAAAAAAATATATAAATTGAATGATAACGTATGTGTTGTATTGTGTACTTACCCTGTAGTACATACAATACATATGTACCTATGTACTGAGCACTCCTGTAATGGACATGAACATGTATGTATGTATAGACAGTGTTCAGACACATACAAATGTACATGTACAGTATGTGGGAAAAATGTAAGGGATGGGGGCGGGGGAACTCCTAGTGACAGATTAGGATGTTTGTTGGGAGGTACTTGTAGGAGGAGGATCATGGGGACAAAGTACAGGTATGTAGAAAGGGGATGAAATGCTGGATAAGGTTGGTGTAATGGTTGGGCTGGATTAGTGGGATGATGGGACAGCCAGAGTAAGAAGTGAAGGGAATGATTGGCAAGGGTAGAGTAGGAGATGGATAGGATGATGGGGAGGGGGTGGAGTAGGAAATGGATTGGATGATGGGAAAGGGACAGAGTACAGTAGGAGATGGATAGGATGATGGGGAGGGGTGGAGTAAGAGATGGATAGGATGATGGAGGGGTGAAGTAGGATATGGATGGAAAGATAAGATGGATGTGGGATTGGAGATAGATAAGATTAGGGGTGCAGTCAAAGTAGACATGGTACATATAGATATGGGATGATGCGATATGGATGATGGGGGTAGAATTGTAGAGGATAGGATGATAGGGTTGGATACAAAGTACAGAACTGTACTTTAGAGGAATTTAAATTGTGTACCATCCATCAAACTCACAAATGCACTGCTTATATAATCATCCAGGTCTAGTCTGACTGTACTGGACCCACATTCTATTGACCGATTCGATGACGCCATTACTGCGGTGTCCCTGTCACTCAGGCGCGCGCATTCCTAGGCTTGACAAGCAGGTGATTTTGGTTAGCAGTGCACTCCCTTTGCCTGATGAAGAGGCATTCAGTGTGCATCCCTTTGTTCACTTGCGTGGGGACACCGCAGTAATGGCTCTTGTTTCTTGTCACTGAGTCGGTCTATAGGCATTCCTCTCTCCTGTAAAGAACTGTAAAGCCTTTGTTCCTGTATCTCCCTCGTTGGTGGTCTTTGTTAATTTACTTTAAACGACAGGCGCCTTTCAACACACAGTCTACACACAGCACTAACTAGGATATTTCTCCTAGAGTACAATGAATTTTATTGCTAAGGTCAATAAAATATCTTGTACATCTGTATTGCAGTCGTATGTCAACTAATCTTGTAAAAAATTTTGATGAAGCTTGGTTGGTATTTTCTTGTTTAATTTAGCAGCCATATTTGCATAACTTGGATGTCTCTTTCTGTCCTGTTATTACAGGAAAGAAATTCAAATTCATAACAAGCAGCGAGCCATGGCGGCTTTGCTGCTCTAGTTTATTTTTCAGTTACCAATTGTGTACTGAAGTCAACATGCTCGTTTTAATGTATAAATTCTTGCCATGAAGTTTCCATTGCCACATTGTGTGATATTTATGGGACAAATTGGACGGCCCAGTTGGTGTTAAGGTTTCATTGATGATAAATGGGTCATTCCATGAGGTTGGGGCACAATTTGTGATGGTGTCCTTGCTAGGGTACATACTGTTACCACTTGTCATGACCTTGAGAGTAGGTCTGGAAAAATAACACACCCCTCTGTATTCAGCTTTGCAAGATGTATTAAAATGTCAATTTGGAAACCACATGTAGGGAAATAGCTGTTCATTGTTATGGAACCCAGGTAACAATTGACACCATCGCAAATTGTGCCCCAACCTCACGGAATGACCCATGACATTTTGTTTCTTTCATGACCGGGCTAGTACAAGTACTGGTGGACCAAGATATGCATTGTGATCATTAGATATGCAGAAATAAATTGCATTTACTGCAGCCTGCATCCTTTGTCCAGTTGCTGAATTTGCATTCTCTTTTGTTGGCAGAGGGTAATGCACTCTTAGAGGAACTGAACCAGAAAGCTATAACGGCAGGCGAAGAACCTGCAAAGGAATTGGCTGCTGACTGGAACGACGGTACCCTCATGCTTCAGGTATGTCTATACAAATTGAATTGTGGGTATTCTTATGGAAAATGAGGACACCACAGCAATATGGTCAACACTACATGTCTTTTTAGTTAAATTAATTCAAATGAAAAGATAGCAAAACTTTCTTTTTACGTGTGTGCAAAACAATTCCCAATTACAGCGCATGCACACCCACATGCACTGGTACGTATGCCAAGGAAACCCAATTTAGAATTACTTAAAAAATCGTTTAAGTTGATGTAGGAGTTTCTTATTGCAGAAGAGCAAGTGGAGTATACCAGTCACACAGTGACTCAATGAAATGTGGTCCCTCTCTCCTGTAATTTGCCCTCTTACTTACAAATGTGTATGGGTACCAGTTGGCAGTATGCCACCGCTACCGGTACATATGTGTACATGTGCATCTATATGTGTATATCTGACACCAAATGTGGCAGAGCCAGCCTACATGTAGTCACTTTCATAGGTGTGCACCAAAAACGTGCTGAACATGTACATGTATGTGAGTCACCACACCGGAATTCAATTCAACCAGAGTAAAGACACTTGACGGGTTTAGATTTCACAAGAAGTTCTTGGTTGCTGTTTGCAGTCCAAACAGATGGGCGAAAAGTATTTGTTCATCTTTTTTTAATCATCGGGTGAGTTTTTATTGAAACCAAATCACGTGCTCTGGTTTAGGTTCAGTGACCTGCATGACGTTTCAGATACATGAACATGTATGTGTGCGACAGTTCAAAATGTTCAAGTGTTATTGGCAAAAATTTATTACATTTTTTGGGAACATCATAACTGAACGTGAAGTTTTCATGTAGTTACTTGCCTAATCCACTGCATCTTTTTGTCGTGTTTTAAAGAAGTGTACATGTCGTTGTGATCTACCGGTAGACTAAGGGTAACGTGTAGGCCTACATGTATACATGTACGTACTGTACAACAGCACTCAGGGGATAAAGAGGAAACAGACAAGTTGTCCAGGCTTTTAAATCAAAGAAGAGAGCGTTGTATTGATCTTGTTATTCTGTTTATATTTCTTTGTTCTCTTTTGGGAATTTGTTGTTATTTAATGGTTCAAGACTATTTACGGTACCGTGCATGCATCGGTTCACACTGTATATATTGCGTGACCTGGTGGTAAGGATGTGGTTTTGATGTTAAGCGAGGGGGTGTGATATTTTATGAGGGTGAATTTAGCTCAGCCCACCAATTAATTTCTTTGCCAGGATTTGCCAGTGAGGTATCTTGAATTGACAATTGACATTGCACTTTTTGCTAGTGTATATTGTTCAGAGGGTCCAAGTAAGGATTTTTTACCAGGCACACTTTTCTGAATAACTCGATACTTCACTTCAATCGGTGAAAACTATTTGGCATCCCTTTTAGCCATTCTGCTGTTGGTGATACATTCTTGTACATGTACCAATATCTACAGGGTATGTCATCCCTGGAAGACACTGTTCATTTACCAGCCCTACTCAGGTTTTCTGTTCAGTTGCAAATCCCAAATTTGCGCATCGAAAACATTCTGAAAAAGGGTTGTTCCTTGGCTGATATTGCCATGTACTGGTACCGATACTAAAGCAACAGTGATGCTTTACAGGAAGTGAAATGAGATCACAGAATTGAGATACACAGGTGCACTTTTAAGGATTGCACTACATGTACATAAACCCTTCCATTGAAATGGTGGTTGTGAACAAATGTCTCCCCCAAGGGTAAATCAGTGTTGCCCTTTCACTTCATACATCGTATACTGCCGGTATATTCCGGTACTGTTTGTGTTCATATTTACCATGGGCCACATTAGTAGTCAGCTAGGCATTGTAGAGCTGGCATTTCCTTCCATGATTTCACCAACTGTCAGGTGTTTGGCCATTCTCATACTTTATTCCCATTCACCGTCATCAACTACTGTACACGTACTGGTATTCCAGAAAATTCTAGCATTTGGCCAAGGTTTCCAGGAAGTGGTTAACGCTGTTTTTTGTTCGTAGACCTTTGTATTTTTCTGCAGACATGCAGTGACATTCTCGACACATTGGGTACATGTACATGTATGTATTAAGTGTAACATAAGATATATTCATCACACTAGAGGTAAAATTTAAGAACGCAATGTTTCTACGGCGTATATTTAAAGCCTTTGAAGAGCACAAATTTTTGTGCAGTAAAGATATACCGTGTGTGTGACAGGCATTGAAAATGCCAGTAGGTGGCACAAATACACAAGTGCAGACCTCAAAGGTGACTGCACTTTTGACAACGGTAACCAACAGGCTGTTTGGAGATTTATAGTACGTGTACATGTACCAATGCATTGCTGAGTAATGCCCTGGTTGTAGATCATTTGTGTACTGGTACACTCCAGTCCTGACACTTGGGTTTAGATGTTACACGTCATGTGGACTGGGTGTGGACAGGAATCTCTCAGCATTAAAAGGGTTAAGCATGATGTTAAAAGTTCCTTTTTTTCACGTCCTTTATGTTTTAGAGTGTGTAGTGTCATAAAAACCAGTGTATACCAGTAGGTTGATAATAGATTTTACATATTACACAATGTACTTCATATCATTTGTTGAATTTATATTTGTTACAAATACATGTACATTATACATGTACATATCTGTAGTACATGTATGTACATGTACTCTGCACGGCTTGGTGCACTTTTCATGTACAGACCTTACATAGAGTGTACAGAACAGACTTCTAAAATTCTGTAAGTTGTCGAATTTCTAAAAGGAGTGGATAGATAGTGTACATTTACAAGCTTTCTTTCAAACTGACAACGCACATTTGAGTTTGTACAAATTCATGTGCAATCATTTGGTAACCTGAGGTTTCTTCCCTTTGTCTCTTCCATGCATAGGCTCTGAATGGATTTGTAATCTTCATCTCAAGGAAAGGGAAAATTTTCTACATCTCGGACAATGTGGGCAAACATTTGGGTATCCATCAGGTATGATATGCTTTTGTAATCTCCATTTACTACATGTACACGCATGTCCATAAGTACATGAGCTGGTGATGTTACATGTTGGCCAACTCCTTTCAATATGCATCCTCTGCCCTTTGAGTTTTACATTTATTGGTCCATATCTTGGTACTGATTGCCAGTATATACATTATGCATGAATAACAAATCTTTTACTTGTAGTACCCACATTTACATGAATCCCCCAGTGTGAAATTCAGTGTACTAGTACATGCATGCATACATTCACAATGTGCCCTTGGGGAGAGCTGAACCATGGCTGTACTATCTATAAGGGAAGTACAGTAGTCAGCCTATGGATCATGGTGAAACTTTGTGGAGGAGACATCAGCAGAAGGCTGGAGGTCATGCATGCACATGCTTGTATGGATACAGGATTTGAGTCCTGTCCATGAAATCCTGGGAAATTAGTGTTGCAAAACTTGTTTTTAAACATTGCTGAATATACAGTGATGATCAACATACTACATGTACATGTAGTCATGCTTAAAATCCAGCCAAATTTTAGGAAAACTTGCATGCAGTGCACTAGAGGGTAACCCTAACCCTCTCAGCATTTTTTTCTAGAAAGCTGACTCAACCCGTCCAATTCCAACACCCTTTCGTTGCTGGGTGGGGTGTACCGGTACATGTATGTACATGTACTTAACTCGCCAGATTCCAACAGTCCACTTGCTGTATCAGTACTCAGTCCAACAAACTCCAGCAGGCAGTAACTGTTGGGTTTTGGCTGAGTGGGGATACTTGGTCATATACTAATGGGGACACTGTGTACTCATCCCTTCAAGATCCAACAACTCCTGGGCTACACAAAATTGTAGTTGTTTTTTTAGGGGGCCTCAGATTTCTTTGTTTTTTTCTTTGACTATTCTTAAAAAAGTAAGGTCACCAAACACTCTTCAATAAGTTACTCTACTCCTTAAGCATAGGTACATGACCAAATGACCCCCATTGTTTACTGGCACACACATACCAGCAGCATTATTCATCAAACACCCAGCAGCAGGTACTGGGCAGTACTTGACCAAACCCACTCAGTCAAAACCCAACACCGTTACTGCATCTGTACAGTATTCATTCCGTCATAACCCAACATGTATGTAGTGTACTAAGTGTCATGTGTATACAGAACTCAACCCATCAAATTTCAACAAACTCTGGTGTTGTAAATTGATTGGATGGGGAACGTTAGGGTTAATTAAACCACAGTAATGAAGGTCAGACCCTTTATGGCTATCAAACGCTAGAAATTCACAGCTAGTAATTGACAGGTGTTTTCTGTGGCCTTGGCGCCCTTTAGTAGGTACAATGTACATGTACTGTACTTTCTGTAGATATGAATGCACATCCTGAACCCAGCATAATACACATGCACCAGTACGTTGCAGTAAGTTTGCCCTTTTATTAATATAGTGTATTAATACAGTATTAATACAGTGTATACCGTGAGTTTCAGGAATGTAGCCATACCGGTCGGCCCAGTGTATTTTTGTTCCTCAGAAAGGTACATGTAGATACAGAACCCACTTGCAGATCATTGATCTGTTGGTAGGCTCTTGATAAAGTAGACACACAATGTATACATGTGCCAGGTACCTGTACTCAGGGGAGTCAGGGTTTTATGATGTAGTTCTTTCTTTCCCTCGAATCTCTGCATCGTGTTCGATTTCTGGCCCAGTCCACATGTAGATTGGGTTGTCAGTTCCTAGATTGGGTTGTCAGTTCCTACATGTACCTGACATGGGTTTTAAATGGTAGCGTGAATATTCTTGTGAGGTTTCCTCCCACCCCTGAAACTGTAAACTACTTCTCACTGTCTTGTCGCTTCAGGTTTCTTCAGGCTAAGAGCTACCATACCTGTTCAGAAATCCTTCTTTTACATCCAGAAATATTTTTGATCATAAATGACAATACATGTACTTGATGTTTGTTCTCTGTTCTGACTTCAAGGTCATTCTGTAAATTTGGGGTACAAAAGTCTGACATTTTTGGCGTCCCTATTACTCCTGACCTGTGTACCAGTAATTTGACATGGAAATATCAGGGGTGTGTTTTGGCGACCCCTATCCAGAAATACCGATATGTTTGTGACGTCAAAGCAAATAACCAGGAACAAGCTTGAGTTAAGAGGGGCCCAGAAAAACGAAGAACCAGAAACGGTTACGTCATATGATGGAGGTAAGTACAAGGAAGCAGACGACACCGTTGGAGGAATGCCAATTTCACTCCGTATTTGGTGTGTCTCTCACTACCCTTGCTCTCTCTTTTCACTTACATTCTAGAAGAAAGTATTTGTTTTATGCACTGCACATAACAATTTTGAGGTTTGACAAAAATGTTCTGTTCATTTTCCACCATTTTGAACTGGCACTGAACCAACTCAAACCTTTGGTTCTCATTTGGTCAAAACAGTGACGTCGCAGTTAGAGGCATAACCAAGTTGCAAAAATGTTTAACCAATGACCAAAGCTGAAACATGCTCATCGTTTGGGTCGCCAAAACATGCCCCAGTGAAATCACTTCAAACTATGTGTTTTTCTGTTTGTTTGGCTGGGAATTTGCATAAGTTAGTCACTCTTGGAAGTTAAGAATACAGATGTTCTAAACTTACAAATCATATGTGGGTTAAGACACTGAAAAATTGGTCCCCATATTCACAGAATTATCTTTGACTTCAGTCAAGCAGTATTAATGTATGTAATACATGTACGGTACTTCAGGTCCTTACCTAAAGCATATCTACATAATTCTATACATATGATACTGTTTCTATTTGGGGTGTGTACTGTAGTTTTGTCATGCAGGTCAGATGCCTTTCAGTTGAAGCAGTGGTTAATAGCCCTTCACCGTAAGGCCCCCCCCAAAAATAGTCGGTCTGTGGTCGGCTCGTGCATTGATTTTGAACATGCGCGTCAATATTTCTTTTTTTCTGTTTTTTTCTCTCAAAATTTTCCAAACAGCACCCTCCATTTCCGCACTGCCTGAATGTTCGCAAGTAGACTGATTCCCAGCCAGAAGTCCTTAGGTTGGAAGGGCAATTTGTTCAAGGAGCCAGACAAGTTTATGTGTACCTCGTACCAGGTGATAGATTTACGACTGCTTAATGTTGATGTCAAACACAAACAGTAGACCAAGGGTAGGTTACAAAGTTGCAGCCAGCTGATCAACTATGGGGGCATGACGTGCGACGTGCTACTACTAGCTTTTCCTCTTTGATAATATGCCACTCATTTCCGTGTCCTTTGCCAGTCTTAAAAAGCCAACCCCATCCCCCTAAAATAAAAAACTAAAAAAAAAACTAAAAAACCCACATCGCTGCATCAATTCTGGAACTTTGGTCTGACCAGAGACCTTTTTTTTTTTTGGCCTAATAGCATGAGATTGTGGGTTCAATTCCCACCTGACCCGCCCGCGGTTGTATTTTAACAGGTGCATCAGGACAGTCACTGTATGCAGGTACTTATACCTTGTTGGAGACGGACCTGAAAGCTCTTGCCGGTTGCTACGGTAGCCCTGGGTCTCTTTTTTTTACCTTCAGGGTTTGTTCAAAACATAGAGAGCATTTCCAATGAAGTAAAATTGCGCCAGTTATGCAAATTTGAACATTTCCAGGCATGCTCTGGCCCCACAGCTGAGAGAGTACACAAATAAAAGTTCATGCCCTGATCTTCACAATCAGTGAAGCTGTATTTCCTTTCTTGGAGCTTATCAGCAGTGCCACAGATTCATCATTAGTGTCGGCAGAGAGTGGACATCTGTTTTTACCATGTTGGACTTGTACAAAAATGTGCACTCTATCCCCCTGGCTGCTTTTTTCCCAGCCCTCTGAATTCCCTCAAGGAGTGTTCTGCATTTTACCCCCTTTCCAGAAATCAAGAGGGCATTCTCTTCACTCTTGTGGTGTTTTCAAATTGATGTAGTTGGGCATTATTGAGGTGATGGAGGAGTTACAGGTGCCAAGGGGGTTGTTCTTTAAGGAAACTTGGCTACTGTGTCTTGGCCTCTAGAGATGTCAGGTACTAGTGTATGTATTCACCTCCTGTTGCTTCTGTATTTGCCGCAGATGGCCAAAAATTGGAGCTTTATTCCATTTCTTTACCCAGGGTATGCCCAAATAGTTTCAAACTGGTTTTCATTGGGACCCTACAAACATAAATTAATACAATAGTTAGAAACTCGGTGTTCTGCATTTTACCCCCTTTCCGGAAATCAAGAGGGCATACTTTTTACTCATTTCAAATTGAGCTTACATTTGTGACGATAGTTACTGAGTCTCATGGATGAATAAAGGCCACAAATTTAAGTAGGATTTGAAGTTTTGCATGGCGGAAGTTGAACACTCACCGGTTCTTCTCAGAACCACACCTCTTCCCAAAAGAGAATTTTTACATGGTGTACCCGCAAACCTACATCCTAGCCACAAATTTAATTGAAGGCATAATTCCCGAATAGTGCAGTCACTGCAGTGTACTACATGTACTACTAGTCCTTTGGATTCTTGTGCTTGAACAAGTGTGTAAAAGTGATTGAAAGGTGGCTTTATAATTTAAACCACTTGTAACAGTCTGACACAAGCTTGTTTTCTAAGCTAGCCTAAATGGTTTTTTAACTTTCAAAGAGAAAAATCAGATACATTTACATATACCTCATTACAAGAGGTTATTGTTCACCAACATGAAACTGTCATGCAGTATGACCCTTGCAAGAAGTAAGTTACCGCTAATTTGTTATGAAACTGCACTGACTGAGGCTACGAAGGGGAAGGGGTACATCTGAGTGTAGTGCAGTTGTACAAATACATTGTACATGTACATGTACACACAGATACATGTGCAACACAGCAGATTATTTAGCCCACATACATGTAAAACCTTTCAAATTCATTCAAAATCTGTCCAAAAGCTTTGTTGGATATAATGGCAGGTTTTAAAGGATTTTGCAGGATCCACCCTTGCCATCCATTGGCTGGATATCCAGTGAAAGTTAATGACAGAGAAATCAGTTTTCTGTACACTTTGGTCCTTGGAAGATTCTGGAAAGATCCTGCAAATACAGTGTACATGCATACTAAGCACAGGATATGATCAGCATGTTGGAAATTCCCTCCCAGAAAAATCTATTGATGGCAAGAGTTAACTCTTGATACCCTGGAAGGTAGACTTAGTGTCAGTAGTATCAGTTGTGCCATTACGCATGGGGCCTACCGGTAGGCCTACATGCATGGGTGGAAATCCCGGGGGACAGGGGGACACAGCTCTCCCCCCCCCATGAATTTGGTATGGGAGGACACAGTGTTGAATGTCCCCTCTATGTTTTATGCAACACAAAATACTAAAGGACTTGATGGATTGAGGATTTCCCCTTTTGAGTTTTTATAAATGGATTGAGATAATAAACACGGTGTTATCAAAAAAAGTGTAAATTGATGTTCCCCCCCACGATCAAGGAGAGATTTCTGCCCATGGGTACGTGGAGTGGTACCAGTAGATGAACGGGACTACTAGTAGTAGTTAAGGTGTCCGCTTTTTTAACATATATGTGCACATGTAGATTTTTTGTTGGTGCCTGTTCAACTTTTTACCTGTGAGCTGCATACCAGTACATGTATACAGGTACGGAAGGCAGTTTTTTTCGCAAGAAAACTTTGTAAGGTCCTAGCCCCAAGACGTGTTTAAGCAAGGCTGTGCATGTATTGCAAACAACGTGCTTCACTGGTGTGCCTTCCTCTGACTTCTGTTTCCAGTGTGCTTGGGTGTGTACATGTACTTGTGTGCCCCATGGTACATACTCATGCATTGCCCTGAAGAGGAACTAATTAATCAACCTCGGTAGCAGCTTGGATGAAATCGGAAGATTGAAGGCAACGTCTTTCATTGACAGGCCTGGCAGTTTTGTGCCTGTGGATGTGTGTTATTCCTTGAATCTCTGGACACGAGCAATGCTCATGATGACTGTATGCCGAGTGATGTTGTTTCCGTGTTTTCGTGTAGCTTTTTTCGGTACATGTCACATCTCGAGGGGATGATTTTCACCGTGCGTATGAGTCAGGTGCTCTGCATGGGTGTCATTCAGCCCTGATTGGGATGGGTTAAGAGGCTGCACCCATATTTCTATCCTATGTTTATGTCATTTACATACATGTGCAAGTACACACGTTGAAAGTGGGTGAGAGGGACAACATACATGTACGTTTTGAAATGCATTTCTAATTTAAGCATCCTCTTGAGATGTACAGTACATGTACATGTACATTGTAAATGTACTAGTATTCATGTACACATACTGTCGTGACATGTATTTTTTTTTGTGAAGGGGTGATTATCAAAGTCACAGTGATACGATCCCAGAAGACTGTTGATTTTAGTCTATTACCATGTCTTCTTACGTATCTGCCTCCTGGCCTCTCTGCCCCTCTTTTCGTCCTGGACTTATCCTTCCCTCACGGAATGAATTTCAACATTGCCACAGGATACATGTGACCATTGGCCAAGGCGCCATCCCATCCTTCTTCTTTGCATGAATACTTGCACGCTTTTGTAAAAATTTGAAGAGTTGAGAAAGAGTGGAAGGCCCTGTCAATAGTGTTATTATGCTTGATTCTGTAAAGTCATATTTCTTCGTTTGTATATCTGCCTTTTTTCTATGATTCCATGGGAAGACACGTTGGCTTTCTAGAATGTCTACGCTTTCCAGATTAAACTTTTCATTTTGTTTCTTCCATAGGGACCACAACATGGTCCAAAATGTAGTAAAAATATATCACGACAAAATTACAGTACATAGTGTACATTTTCTCTGGCAATTAAAATAACATGTACGTGTATGCAGATAGCGTCTTGATACATGTACATGTATGCAGATAGCATCTTGATACATGTACATGTAGTAGCCTCATATCAGTGTAATAACCCTCTGTCTTTGTTCCCTCGTTTGCATTCTCTGATTTTTTAGTTGTGCTGGTACCTAGAATTCTATGAATATACATGTATACATTTACATAACTGACATGTACCACTTCATCATCTTTGATAATGAGGTAGGATTGGCAGAAAGGTTTATACAACTTGGTACAGCATCGACTCTGTTTTAAGTCATCAAAGCCTGCAGGTTAATTAGTGCCATATTGTGTGTCCGCTTGGATAGCCAGTAAATTTGTTCCAAGTGAATTTGCCTAGAAGGCCTGTGCAGACTGAGTTCAACTTTCCTTCTGTGTGTTTTTTCGAAAACACACATGTAAATACTTAATTACATGTTCATTGGGCCACAAATGATTTTTTTTGGGTTCATTTGTAGTGTTACTTCTTTAATTTTTCGCAAGTATAGTTGTCATCTCTTTCAGTGGATATGATGAACTGGTGAATATTTTGATTAATGTTTGATTCATTTTGGAATTTCAAGGCCATTTTCTCAGTGATTTTGTTTGAGTTCGCATGATGAAGAGCAATTAATTTCCATTGTGCCAGATTCTTCATAAGGCCTGCAGCCCTTAAGTCATGAAAGGGTTGCTAAGTAGGGTCACACTTGTCCAAACAAAGATGGATGATACTTTTTGCACACACAGCCATTGGTGGAGATGGAAGTGGGCCCCCCCCGCACTTTTTTTTTGGGGGGGGGATACTGCCTCATACTTTGGGCAGGTCCTCTAATGGATGGGGCATAATGGATTGGTGTATTAATGGCTGATGGTCTTACAACTGACCTTCCCACTTTGAAAATCATTCCACCACTGTTGCACACATGAGCTCCTCTGGCCTTGATAAATGTCTGGACACTTGTGTCTTATGTTACCTTCTGGTCCCAATGCCAACCCTCCATCCCTGCTTGAAGATGTTGTACCTTTAAGAACTTTTCTATGTCTAGACAGCATCTTCAAGGACTTTTTTCTCTGTGGTCAATAGATGTACGTGAACATTGTCCTACATAATGGAAGTATCTCACAACATTGCCTCCAAAATATGACATGCTGGTAGAAGTTATCTATCTTTGATATGTGAGAAATTCATGACAATGCAAAATGGTTCCATTAAAAGAAAAGACCTTGTGTAGACATGGCAGACTTCAGCCTGGCAGATTATTGCAGTGATTCATATCCCTGCGATTGTTTGAAGTAAGGATAACTGTGTGATGTCTGAATGCCTGACCACTCTATTCTAATTGTCCTTTTTCCCCTGCTGTTTATATTTGCTTGGCAGTACGAGATGATTGGGAACAGCATGATGGAGTTCATTCACGCCGATGACCAGAAGGAATTGGCCAAGCAGTTTGTAGTCCAGGTACCAGGCCAGCAGACGTTCAAAGGCTATGGCATGGAGAATGTGGGTGATGCACCCACCTCAATGAGCTTCAACTGTTTTGACACTGACAAAGGTTCGTTGACTGGTGTTCTGGATATGCTGATAGTGTGCGGTTGTTAATGCAAATTGAACAAATGCAAGGGGGAACCTTTGCATAGAGTCGGAACATTGCGAACATTCTTTGAATTTGTAAAAAAAGTCTCTCACTCTTTTAAGGTTTTCTTTTACCTTTTCATGTATGTAGAGTGAATCAGCCACATAAATTGTTTACATTGTAGATGTGAGTTTAAGAAATGATAATTGCCCCCCTAAATAGCAGAATGCTCTTCCTTTGTATGAATTCCATTCACGTTGTGGTTCACCAAAAAATCCTGCTTTTCTGAGGTCTTTGAAATCAGATTTTAGTGTGTTTCTGAAAAGCAAGAGGCAAATGCTGACAAAGAATTAAGCAGACAACCACATCAACTACCCGCACATGTATACACCCACTCAATTGGTATATTTGATAGTCAACCCCAAAATAAAATATTTACACAGGGTAATTTTGCCAGACCTTATTTAACCACGAAGCAGCTTTCCTGTTTCACCAATATTGGCTGTGATGTGAAGATCACCGTTGCATGTAATTTAATATCAACCACAACAGAATGATAAGCAGTCAATCTACATGTATATGCTAATTGGATTTCTCTATTTTCATATTAAGGATTACATTGGGCTTTAAACTTTATTCCTTGTGGATCCTCAATAGGAAATGATGTCTGGAATTGAAATTTAAATGCTTGTAACATTTGATTGCATACGGTTACGTTGTACATGTAGCACGTAGTATTTGGGTTGATAAATCTGTATGTTATGTTTGTTTGCATTTAATCATTTATTGTCTTTTAATTTAGAAATTTTAATTTTAATTTGAGAAGCCCTAACCCTCTAGGGTTTATGCAGAATGACGTTGAAATTGGAGGATTGAGAACTGTTAAGGTAAACAAAGCCAAACGGAAATTGGATTGGAAATTGCTGCTCACAGCAAATTTTGGCTGTGTTCAACTGATATGTTTGCTGAAATGTTAGATGTTGCATTTGTCGTGCATGTTGCACACAGTTTGAGTGGAGGATTTCTTTCCTGGTCTCTTCCAAACAATTCCAGATGAGGAAATGCCCTCCATCTCCGATTTCATCCAGGAGCGGCAGTTCTTCCTGAGGATGCGCTCCGTCATGTCGCGGCGAGGGTCTGGCGGAAAGGGCAAAGTTATCGGATACAGGGTGAGATGCAGAGAGGGGGTTGACTCCGGGGCTCCGTGCTCACTGAGGGGAATTGAGAGTCTTTGAGTCTGAAGACAAGTAGAGAAAGAAGTAGTCACGTTAGATCTGAAGAGTTTATCGGGGGAGGGGGGGCGAGGAGATAAATGGAAGTGTTGTTCTCAGCATGTGTATCCCTTTGCTTATTCAAATATCTTACTTTTCACTCACTAGCAGAATTGGTCCAGTGTGGTTTCATTACAAATCACTTGCAAGCCACTTGAACTATGCGTAGCAGGCATGCAACTTTTCCTCAGATCAGCTGATTTCCTTGTTTTTCACTTCCCACTCATGCCATTAAAAATTGAAAAACACTGTACAAAGTCTTGTAGGGATTGGAATGTCCTCAATTTTGTTGAAGTCCAATTTCAGGGCTACTCTGTGTTGATATCGAGATGATGGTTTATCCACATTCAGTTGAGATAGGGCAGGTACATTCTGCGTTAAGAACCAGTAACCATACATAATTCACCCTCTGGCACTTATGCCTACTGCACTAGGTAGCGTAGCACCGTCTACATGTGTACTTCATACAGAAGGTGTGTAACAGTCTTTAATAGGCACTGGATGGGTGCATATATTGGTAACCTTGCAGCCAAATCTTAAATTTTTGTGCACATTTTTTTCTCTTGTATTCCTTGAAGAAGGTTTAGCACCAATCTTTTTTTGGGGGGGCACAAAATGTTTTCTTCGGTTGGGCCAAAGAATTGGAACTTTGTAACCTTATATGGCCCTTAGTTCTGAGGAGAGAGGGTAAATTTGGAGACTTTTTTCATGCTTCTGGAAGGGTGAAATGCAGTAGTCCTCCCCTCTCCCCTAAATCACCTTTTTCTTATTTTCAAAACAAAACTTTATGAGGGGGGTAGGAGGGGATATGCCCCTCTTCCCCCAATTCACCATTTGCTCCCATACCAGACCATCATGGCAGTACATCTATCCTCTCTTAATTCCATCCCTCCCATTGCTGAGCAGGTTGTCAATTTCTGTGGGCGTTTGAAGCTTACGTCTTCCACCTCCAGCACCAAGGGCTACGTGGTGGAAGGCCTGATCTGCCTGTGTCGCCCCATCCAGCCCCAGCCCATCCTGGAGGTCCGCATGGACGGCAACATGTTCATGAGCAGGCACAGCTTGGACATGTGCTTCACCTTTTGTGATCCCAGGTACATCCAAAAAGTGCCATTTCAACCTGGCGAGACATTTGACCCCAATAGAGAAACAGGAAAAACTTCCCTGCGGACCCTGACAAGTGTAGTCATGGCTACAGCACAGAATGTTGGAAACGGAGGAAAAAAATTGGAAATGAAAGGGGGAAAAAAATCTGAAATCCTGTTAATATAGCAAAAGAATATGGCTGTTCAACCGGGAAGAGCCAGTTAACTAGGTGTTGTTGTATGGGGAAGAGTGGACTGTTGGGATAGGTCGTCATACATGTAGGTAGTCATATACAGTGCCTCATCTTTTTAGAGTTGGAAAACAGAGATTCATTCAGCATCACACTTCTGAAAAAAAAACCCCATCTTAGCTATGCAGTAAGAGATATTCACAGGTAGCATGTCTTGTGGTATACTAGTTTGGCATACATATCAGTCAATTGAATGTTTGTTGCTTCATTACACCTACAGTTAGGGACGGGATCAAAAATACAGAGATCGTTCGCACGCGTGCGAATGCCAGGAAGGCATTCTTTTGTTCAAGCTACCTCCACTTTGCATGGGTGAGAAGGGCTGTCCCGTTCCCTCGCGTTCCTCTACAACAAAAGACCTGTCACAGTCTGTGCACACAGCAAGATGTTGTGGCCCCCCCCCATGGTGGCATAAAACCTATGCGAAGAAAATGTGAAGTCCCCAAAACAAGAATGGTGATCGAACAACCATCCATGGATTCGCAAACAGTGGGGAAAATTAAATGCCACTCTTCTGCTTAAGACATTTCTTTTTAATTCTCTGAAGTAGAGCACTTCAGCACTGCATTCCACAAAGTAATACTTTGCTTCTTAACATTGTTTAAAGTTTTGAGAGGAGGTGTTTGTTATTAGAACATCTTTCTAGCCTTTGGGGTTTGCTGATTGTCCCATTATTTTCTTTCCCTATGAGGAGCCTGCCAATACTGAACTTAAAGAAAAAAACATTAGTGCTTTAATACGATGTCAGCACTCTTCGCACTAGAATTAGGGGAAGGATTTTGAGCCCTACCAATCACATTATTTTCATTCCAGGTTGTATCCCTCCCTGTCACAGGGCATTATCGCCATCACAAATTTATTCTACCATTTCAGAGTTTTGTCATTGACATCTAGGCAAAAACATTTCATCCCCCAACTGGCTGCTCTTTTTAAAGATTTTTAATCTTTAATTTTAAGCACCTCCAACAAAAAGAATATTCCTGCCTTTGCACATTTAAAAATAAAATCCAACCATACTTGTGCTTCACAACAACAATGTATTTGTGGTTGTCCGAGTGTATGCCAGTGTGCTGTTATTGACGACATACGACTTTCCAAGAAAATAAAGAGAGAATGGAGGGGAAGTTGTTGCAATTTATCACTGTGTAAATATAAGAAATACATGTATATTCATTTGGGCTGTTCAGCAGAATATTTTCCCTTCCAAAAAAGTGAATAAATTTTTGTGGAAGAAGTAATAAATTTTAAGGCCTGCAAAATGCTATTTTTCATAATTTAATGTCAAGAGAAGGTGAAGGAACATTATTTAATTTATCCAAGGCTGTACAACAAAGTCTGGCTAGTGGCCAGGCAGAGTCCTGGCAGGGGCTTGAAGGGGGCCCAGGATTTCCCGTGGTGATGCTCTTTCTTGGCAACAGTGGCATAACTCTGGGACTGCCCAAGTGTATCCTACCAATGGCTCCTTTACTTGCTAAGAATCAACTTATTAATTGGCTGAGGATTTACCATCAATGTATCTGCCCCCAAGTCTTCCTACAAAGATAGCCTGGGTGACCCAAATACTTAAAAAGATACATTGTATCTTATGGAACAATAGAGCTGTCAATCACTCCTCAGAAGATTTGTATTCCTGCAGAGCTGGGGTGGATTTATTCTAGAATTTTTTATCTTCCGGATTTGCTGAGCCAGTTGCAAATAATCATTTAGTCCCAAGGTATTTTCTGGTGTATTGGCGTCTAAGTCAATTAAAAATTATAATATTAAGTATTAAAACAGCCAAATAATTTTTTGTTTGATGTTTAGAACGGTAATTAAGGGTTTGACAAGACTGACCAGCTCTAAGCCTGAGTTATCGAGAGTTCCTGAAGTGTCGACTTTCGCAGCATCTTTTGAAAATAAAAATTAACCCAGATTGCGTCAATTGAGCTTTGTGAAACCTACAACAGTTAGTTCCGTTTAAATGTCTTGGAAAATCTCTCTAAGGGATTTAATTTGTTTCGTTGAAACCGTTAAATATTTAAACTTCCGACCCTTACTGTCATGGAAAAGTTTGCATCCAAACATATCCAAAACAGAGGCAATAACGTGGATGACGAATGCAAGCGGTCTGTTGTCCGCCTAATGTCATTTGTGCACCTCGTATAGATGGGGGAAATCATGGAATGTAATGGTCGGTGATGGTACTTTTGCATCATACAGTGGTCAAGTACTTTGAGGAAAAAAGGAAATTTTAAAAAAGTATTTATGGAAGACCAGTTTTTATCGGATGAATTCATTAATCATTATTGTTCAGACCAAGAGAAAAATAAAAGTAGCAAGGGAATAAAGTCAGGAGAGTATTCCAAATAAAGTCTCTGTGGAGCTTTCATCCAACTAAAGATTGACAGCTGACCCACCATCATGTATAACAATTGTTCCAATAGACTTCTGATTGACAGCCCCCTTGGCATGTTCCTAACACCCTACTGCCAAATATATTAATACAAGTTTCCCTTCTTGGCATTTTTTAGCCTAACCTAGATCAAGTGTGGTTTTTATTATTTTCACTAACACAACCGCCCAATTATTTTATTCAGAGCACCCAACCCACCAAAAATATAAATTCTTCCCCCTCTGCATTTCTCTAAGGTTTTATTTTTTTTTTCTTTTTTATTCCGAGCAGCCTACCTGCCAATAATATTAATTCTTCCTTCCTATCCTCGCATTTATTTTCTATCCACACCTTGTGGTTTATATTTTTTTCCCAACTGCATTTTTTTCAGAACATCCATCCCAGCCCATCAAAATATATTCATTCTTACTCTTCGGCATTTATTTTCTATCCACACCTAGACCACTTGTGGTTTTTATTTTTTCCCAGCATCGCTGCATTTTTTATTCGGAGCATCTATCCCAACCCATCGAAATATATTAATTCTTTCCTCCCTGGCATGTTTTTCTGTCCAAACTAAGACCTGGTCTTTATTTGTTTTCCCTGTACCTGTTCTCATTTTTTCCTCATTCCAAGCACCCAACTGGTCAAAATGTATTATTTCTTTCCTCCTTGACATTTTTTTATCCAAACCTTGACCACAAGGGTTTTCATTAAGAATGTATACAATGTGGGAAGTCGGTACATCAAAGGGACAGAATGAGCGTTTATAAGAGGGAAGAAAAAACATCTTATTGGACCAGACACTTATTCAGCCAAGGCTCAGCCTCAAGAACAGCTTGTATGCATGTTCTTCACATCTTTGTTGTGCCCCTGCCGTTCTCGCAGGCACAGGAACGACAGTTAACATAACAATACTCTCTGAATCACTCATGCGTGGGAACGGGCAGGAACACGTTCCAAGGTGCTCTTCGGAATGGGGGTGAACGGGAGGGCGTGCAGAACGGAAGGGAACACGTGCGAACGGTCTCTATTGCAGCATTTATGTAGATTCAAGTGATATTGAAGTGCCAATTGGAAAAGATGTTCAGTAAAAACTCAAATTTCACAGATTTTTAGAGCTAGAGCGTATATGCAGAACTCTGTGGTGTTAAGTGCAAAATTCTCTTGGCTAATTGGACCGTCTTTCCTTCTTATCTGGAGATGGTCAAGGGGTAATCCTGGAATACATAACCTAGAATCACGCTGTTGCCGTCTAATATATTTTTCAGTTGATTTCAGTTTTATATTTGGCATGTTTGTTTTTGCAGGATCATCACGCTTATTGGCTATGAACCCCATGAGTTGGTAGGCAAAACCGTGTACCAGTTTCACAACCCCCTTGATGCCCGAAAAGTCAGCGATTGCCACTCCAACTGTAAGTGATTTCAGATTTGTGGGTTTTTGTTTTTCTTTAAATTTGCATTTTCCTGTTTGTTTAACCCATCTGAGTACCTCGTTTATCTTCCAAATGGGCCCATGCTCTATTTCCTTTTGTCAAATGGGTGTTAATGGGAGCATAACGTGAACTGTGCCCTGAGCCTGACAATCCTCTCAGAGAGGAAGTCGAAGATGAAACGGCAGGAAAAATACTTGGAAGGAAACGCAGGTCGGGTGTGCTGGTGGTAATGCTGGTCAATTCCTCTGTATTGGGGGGAAAGGAAATATAAAACGCAAAAGTGCTGATTCAGCCAAGACTCAGTGAGTTTGCACATGCATGTGGGTCAGAGGTCAATATAGCAGTGTGACCATCAAGCTACCTTAAACAGCTCTGTGACAAAATTGTTACGTCTGCTCCGCTACCAAAACTCCCTCCAAGTTGAAGCTGTGCTTCACCAGTATTTATGCTATTGGAGAAATTTACTACTGAATTACATTTGCAGAAGTTATGTCCCAGAATAATCTTAACTCTTTAATGACCAGTATGAATGCACTTGTGAAAAATTGTTCCTGAACTTTCTTGACATTTTAAGGTTCTTCATTAAGTTTGTCAAGGTCACACATCCCACATGCACAGCACACTTGTTCTTTAGTTATGGGGACATACACCTGCCATTACACTTACTGGTATTTTGTGGGGACCAAAAATGTGGGGACAGCAGGAGTCCGCATAACTCGTCCCTAATTTGCTTAACAATTGAAAACTTCCGCATAATGCAGTTAGGGCATACCCACTGTGTTCTAGCATGCAGTTACGTAGCTGTTTTTTTAACATGCTCATTTGGGGATTCATAACAATGGACTCAAATCTGTGATGCATTTTTAGTTCAAGCCAAGTTCAGACCTTTTCCCAACTTTTTGAGGCTTGTTAGTGCACAAGCTACGGTATGGCAGTAGCCACTTGCTGTAGATGTGCTTGTTACTGTCAGCCAAAGTCAGTGGATTCAGACATTGCCTCTGACTCACAGGGTTTTCAAGTCTACCTTAGACCTAGACAGGGACTCGACCGTAACTTCAACAACAGCGACAATATTTATTTCCATAGTGACATTATTTATAACAACCACATGTGCATGTGGATTTTAATTACATGTAATACTAGGGTAAGTTAAATAATATTGAAAATGATAGCACATTGTTTAAGCTTCACATGAAAATAAATGATACCAACATGAAGGAAAATGGTGAAGCAAGGCTTATGTACCTTTCCCTTGGACAAGATAAAACAAGACTCGACACGAGACACACAGTGAGACCCGATAGCTTTTAGAAAACTTACATTTGAATCTCAGAACAAGATGTAATCATTAGTTTCTTCAATTTTTTAGCCAAGGAAACCACAGTATTACACTCTTTTAATTTAACTCCAAGTTCATCCCTATATCTGAGACCACATTGAAATGGACTGTTTCTAAAAAACGATCTTCTGCTTTTTCTCACATAGAACGATCACCTCTTAATGAACTACATGTATGTGTGTCCCGTGCAGACGAACAGAGGCTGTAAATGAAAATAGATGATCAAACACTGCAGTGTAGCAATCAAGTCCATCACAAGTCGTCTTAATAACAGGGTGAATGATGACAAAGGAATGCTTTTGTCACTGCCAGTTTTAATACGGGAAGCTTGACGTGATGCCAAGTCTGGATGGCTTGTTATGGACTCAACTACAACACTGCAAGACTGCCCTCAATTGGGCAAAACAGGTTTTTCAAGGACTCCAGTCCGTATCAGCATCTTCAAACATCTTGATTTTTTTTGTATTTTGCAAACTGATTTCTGTTTCGTCATTCTGTTCTTTTAGTAATCATGAAGGGCACCAGTGCTACCAAGTATTACCGCTTCATGGGCAAGAACGGATCCTGGGTGTGGCTCCAGACAAGAGCCACCATCATTTACAACACCAACAACGTGGCCCAGTACATCGTCTGCATGAACTATGTCATAGGGTCAGTATGCCGTTCGCTCGCGGAGAAGATAGAGCTGCACTGGCAAACCAGAAAAAGATTGTCGCAGCGCTTGCAGTGTACCTAATGAGATGTAGGTTTGCAGTAGCACCGTGCAAATCTCTCTCTTGTGTGTGTGTGTGTGGACAGTGTCTTGAGAGCATCCTGTCTCATGGAGATGGCCAGAGCATACTGTTCAACATTTCTTCTTAGAACTTCATTTACCCACCAAAGAGAAGTGGTGCTGCTGTGCACCTGTGTCTCATTGCTAAGTCCACGGTGCAAACCTTCAAATCATATTTGGAGTCTACTTGGACCTTTTGGAATACCTCACTCGGATCACAGAGCCTCCTTTGAACAAGCAGTATTACCAGTTTAGGGCTGAGTCTGTTCGATTCATTCGCTATTCAAATATTCGACTTTCAATTCGATTGCATATCGGAACAGTTGGTCTTACCTACCAGCAGTATTGTTGATGACTAAACCATAAACGAAATCAGTTACAATAGCACACGCAAATTGTGCTTTATAATCACAATAATAGCTTCTCACATCAAGGAGCATCTCCAGCCAAGGTGTAGCAAGATTTAAGAAACGAACAATACTTCTTGCCCCACTGAAATTTTCTATTCCTTTTAAATATTTTAATGAATAATTTGCTTTTTGAGCCGTAAGATTTCTGTCGCTTTTCTTCTGAATCTGCTTCAAAAAAGCGTCTATAGTGCAACTTTTCTCATTTAAAACATAAGAAAATTCTCCCATCCTTTTCATCCATTTTGCATTTGAATATTCAGATGCAGAAAATGGCATTCAAATATTGGATAATCGATCGAATATTCGGATATTCGGCACAGCCCTATACCAGCTCATGTTCCGTACTAAATAGCTCATATTCCCACAGTACCTTTTCGAGCATTCTAAATGATGAGTTTCTACACTGTAAGATTTTTTTTGCTGCATTAATTGTGTACTACCAATATCATGGCAAGGTAATGAATGTCATCGTCTGGTGCATTGTCTCAAATTTCTCAAGACAGCTAGCCTGGCTTAATTGGGCTTATGCATTAATGGGATAAAACCCAAAATGATCAGCTTATCTTGAACAATTCTGCAGCTGACAGAAATGTAACATGACGTTCATTGTCATGGCATTCTCCAACAGTAGTAAGAACGTAAATTAATGGACACAAAAAAATGAGATGGATCTCACAACGAAAAAGAAACCTCTAGAAGCTGTCCAATTTTAAAGGAGGGTGATTTGGTGAATTCGGTAACGTTGTAAGAGTCTCTCTCTCACTCTCTCTCTCTTGTTTTTGCAGGAAAGATGTTGGTGAACGATCTCTGCTCATGGAAGAGATGGCAAAAAGCAGAGGAGGCAATGAGTTGTGTAGCAGCATAGTGGACAGCGACTGCGGTGATAGTATCCCCAGTCCCAGCAGCGACATGGCCAGTGGTTACACACCAGCGAGCGTTGCCTCGTCTGTCACCTCTGGCATTGGCTCGGGCTCTGACATGGATGAGCCCTCCCTCAAGCCAGTCAAGCAGGAGGTGGACTTTGATGAGCTCATCCCCAAGGCAGTCCGTGACAAGGAGGAGATCAAGAAGCCAGCCCCCGAGCAGGACATCAGCTTCGCTGCCCTCCTGAAGATGGACAACTTGAAGAGGATGTATGGAGCCACTGATAAGATGGACACAGCAGAGAAGGTGGACAGTGTGAAGAAACAAGAGAGTATGTCAAAGGGCATGACCTTTGCTGCACCTGGAACCGTGAACAGTGATGGGATTTCTGTGAACAATATAGAGGGACCCTTTAGCAATCCTCTTCAGCATAAATCAACAGAAATCCAGGAGTCCTTCCAGAGAGCAACTCAGAATCCTGCTGTGGATGTGTTGCTTCCCATGCAGACTTTCTCACCAGTGAGTGAGGCGAGCTCGGACTCGAGTAGTACTGCAGAAGTGAGTTCACCACCAATGGCAGTAGCGTTGCCGTCTGACGGCCAAGATGCCCGGATGGCAAGCGTCGGAGAGGAGGATGAGAGCCTGTTCAAGGACCTGCTGGAGTTGACTAAGGATGACAACATGGACAACCCATCATCGCAGCTGAATTCAGAACTTCCCCGCATGTCCTTCAGTGTGAACAGCCCCAGCAACCTGAGCCAGCTGCTGAACAGTCAGAGCGCTGCCAGCATCTCGTTGGGGATGTCCAGTCCCGAGTCCCAAGACCTCGTGGATGACTGCCTAGAGGGCGATGATGAAGTCTTCAATGGCAGGCCTGAGTCAACTGAACCTTCTTCCAGCATCTTAGCGGGACTCCTGACCAAACCACGGGCCCAAGAGCCGACCGGCAATGGTGCATCCGGCCCATCTCTTGACCCTCCCCCGAGTCAGGGTAACCTGCATTACATGAACATGTCCGTCACCAAGGTAGACCCCATGATGTCTGGAGCCAGCAGCCAGTTGCCAGATGACATAGCCAACTTCTCACTTGAGTTCTGTCAGCCAGTTATGGACCAGGCAGCGTGTGATGCTATCACAGCCCTTGGCGGGGACTTTTTTGTACCTGACCCCATGGACAAGGGTAGGAATGGAGCCACCATAACGGAGGTCACTGATATTGAAGACAATGGACTGCTCCTCAACACCAGTGAATCAGAAATCAGTGCTGCTTCAAATCCGCTTGCGAATCTTGTGAATAGTCCTCCAAAGATGCCAAATGGCATAGTACAAACTCAAGTGCCCTTGGCACAGCCTCACAATATTTCACTTGACTTACACAGGAACGTTACCGAGCGAATATCGCAGTTGGATATCAAAGACAGTGGCAGGGCTCTGGCTCCACAGATCAATGAATCTGCTAATGCCCCAATCTTACATGCCCTGCTGCTTGAGAGCAGGGCAAACAGTCAAACTGCTGAGAAGTCTAGAGGGCAGCGTCCTGCACCACTTAGCAGCAACGGACTCGATAGTGTAAGTGATGTCTTGGGTCCAATAACGCCTTGTACCAAAGCCGCAGTGGATGCTGTGGACTCACTCATACAGGACTTTGATGAAATGCCAGGTACTAATACTGCAGACCCCGTATTTGCCAGATTGAATGGTAACAACAACATGGTGAACCAGGAGAATTACGTCCTTCTGCAGCAGATGGACCAGCAGCGGAAACACATGGCTGAGGAACATCGCAGACAGCAGCAAATCCTGATGGAGAACCAAGCCAAGCAACAGAAACAGCTTGAAGAGCAGCAGCGACAGCTGCTGCAGAGCCAGAACCTGCAGGGCCAGTCCATTGAGCAGGCACTGCTGCGCAAGCAAATGCAGCAGAAACTGCAGCAGCAGTATCAGCTTCAACAGCAGCTGCAGCAGCAGCAGCTGCAGCAGCAGCATCAGCTTCAGCAGCAGCAGCAAACATTACTGGCTCAGCAAGCTGGCATGACAAGCGGCTTGCCGAGGTCAGCCCAGGGGCCGGAGCTGCAGGGAAACAGCTCCGTGCACGGCCAGGGTTTCGACATGACAGAGTTTGCAGCTCCGCAATCCCGAACAGTCTCAGCAGCGCTTCCAGTTTCCAGCCACCACAGGCAGCAGCAACAAATGCAGCAGTACTCTGCCTCCCCTCCTCAAAGCGTCATGGATTCCCCTCTTGCACAGCAGCAACTGCAGCGGCAACGTGGGAGTCCACCTGTCATGGGGCGATCTCCCCCAGTTGGCAGCCCACACACCCTGCCGCAGCAGTACCCAGGGCAACCGCAGGCCATCCAACAGCAGCAGCAACCCACTAATCAAGGGGGTTACTCCGGCCAGATGCAGCAGCCTTCCTACTGCAGACAGCAGCAACAAAGCATCGGCGTCATGCCAGAGCAGGCTAACAACAACTCTCTGATGTGGAACAACATTGATCCCATGTTGTCTCACCCGAGCATGGCTATGATGAACAGACAGGGCCGGACCATGGAGCAGTCTGATCTAGATTTCGGATCGGCCAACCCCCACTTGCTGCAACATCAGTAGTTTTATCTCTGTCCATGTATAGTTGTTATACAACTGTCTTGAATACTATATTGTCATCCAGTCAGAATGACCATTTTACCAGGTAATAAAAATGCATATTAAACACCACCATATCATATCAAACATCAGTGATACCACATCAAGATAACATAGACGAGTCCCTGCCCTACAGTTCAAGCCACAATGCCGGAACAGCTGACCAGACTATTCCTAGGTACTTCTGCAAATTTCACCTACGTACAGTTGTTTCCGAAAAAATTAGTCATTACGATTAAATTCAAGTCCTTCAGGTAAGGAAAATATTGCAAAGAATTCAAGACAGAGGTGTAACAAAAAATGTTTGACTGCTGTGATGTGGGATGTAATGTTTTTACAGATGAGGGACTCATAGTAGCTGAGGCCAAGGGTGATATACATCTTGAGGGTATTAAAACATCATATCCTACATCAAAGTAGTGTATAATTGTCAAATACATGTAACCCTTTATTACCCGTACTTACAGAAAAAAATCTTTCTTGGGCTTACATATTTTCTTTTGTAGACACGCTTGCATTCGAAAAGGCATTTTGAAAACAAACACTCAAGAGTGCATTTCAAATTTTGTGTTATTTTTCCAGAAGTCAGTCTATTTGAGCCTCTAAAACAAATGCGGATCTCAGGCAAATATACCATCGTGTCTGGTTTTGTTTCAGTTTGGAGATATTTGGGTGGAACTCTGATAAAGGGAGTTTTTCAATGGCTGTTTTGTGCTGCTGGCTACAGACAAGAAAGAATTGTTGCATACAGAAAAAAACTGTATTACCAGACACCCTTAGCTTTGTATCAATAACATCATGTGATCAGATGGACCACACACATTGACTTGAGAGAACTATATAAATTGAGTTTGCTAAGGCACTGGTTGAAAGTGAGACATACATAGATAAAAACTTGTGAAATTATGAAGCATGTGTGGAGAATTTTTCAACCTTCAGTTTTTGACGGTCTGTGACAGTATGAACAATCAAGAACAGTCAAAATTTTAATCCTCCCCTTCTGCTAATCTTCAAGGACATATCACGTCTCAATTGACTGATTTTCTTACGAAAGAAAAACGTTGTCCAGAATGTATGTTTCTACAAAAACATTATCTTTTCCTCTAGATAAAATGGCATCTGAATCGAGGTGGCTAATGACACTTCTTTTCATTTTCGGTCGTAAATTTAATGTTTGCGCTGCTCTTCCCAAAGTTTGAAAAGTCAGATCTGTAGAAATGTATAAGTTGTAAATACACGATTTGATGATGTGCCTTTTTGCCTTCTCAAAAAGAGAGGGTTGGATATATTTGCAACAAAAAGTGCGGGGTCTTCAGAAGGGGAGTAAATTTCCAGTTTTCTACTTTCAAATCGGAATTCGATTTATTGTCTGAATTGGGAAACAAGTACTTTATCGTGATTCTAGGCATTTGTGTAAGTTATTTTCCTGTGTATGTTATGTGCAGTTTATTCAAACAACCCAAAGATTGTATTAAAAAAAGTAAAGCACATGCGCATCATGGCTTTAATTGGACATGTTTGGAAGTTGAAAGTTGACAGAATTGAGTTTGCTGATCATGTTGAGCATTTTATGGTAACAAAATCTTTCAACACCAAACGGAATCAGGAGGAATCAATTCCTGGTAATTTCACTCGTTAGTATTAACCCTTGTGCCCCAGTTCACAACAACAATCTTAAAAAAAAACCTTGGCAAGAGACCAGAAGTGTTGGAGAGGAGTGCTCAACTTTGCTTTTGTCACTGGCCTTTAGGGAAACCAAAAAACAATTACCTAAACATGTGAAAAGTGACATCTTTGAATTTGTACAAAAATGGCAAAAAATAAGAAAAAAAAGTGTTTTCACTGCCCACCATGTTGTGATACTCATATACCTCAATTACAATAAAGGACCAAGTAGAAGGTAATTATTTAAGGTCATTGTCAGTGCTTCAGTATATTTTAAAATAAATTTGGGGCCTACCTTTTTTGGGTCTTATTGAGCTCCACCTGACACAGAGAAAGCTCCCTCAATTTTGGACGCTATAGTCAATTTATTTTGACTCATTTTTTTTAATCAGTTAAGTAGTATCATTGACCAATCACACAGACAAATCAAGTGAATAGTAACGGTGACAAAAAGCTATTTGAGACTTTGCGGTTTTTTACTATGGAATTTACATTGCACTTGGTATAGATACATTTTTTTTCTCTCAAGAAAACCAGAGGTTGATAATGAATGCTTGTGCACACCTATGAAGGTGTTTTGTTCAGTCACATTCTTGTTTGCTGTTTGATAATCATTGCTGCTGACCCAACATTTGAGTGGTGATTGTAATAACTAGCTGAAAGCCAGCAACGTAACCTATAAATAAAATTGGTTTGCTGGTGAACGTTTTTATGCAAGTTTCCTTTAAAGTTGCTTATATTATCCAATGCTGCGAAACTATTTTTCTTGCAATGATGAAACTCCAAACAGCTGATTAAGATGCGTTGCCACTGTACAGTATTCAATTTCTGTGCGCACTTAGTTTAGACACTTGAATGTATAAAGGTTTATTTTTAGATTCGTGCCAGGGGATTTGTGTACAGCTGCGGAGGCTTGTGCAAGTTGAAAAAAAAAGGTTGTTCCAAACAGGGTTGTTCTGAAGACTTCTCCTCTGAAGAGGCTTGTTTTCCAATAATCCTGTATCAGATATTATTTTTTTTTGTGAGGATTTTTTTTTTTTGTGGTGGTGGTGGTGGTGGTTTTAGGGAAACCAGTGGTGCTCAGTGTTCCTCTTTCTGACATCCCAAAATGTCTTTGGACCCAGATGAATGCGCTCCTTGAAAGATTTTTTGGGATAGGCTCTCAGACTGAATTCACTGGATGAGATGCTGTCCCCAACACCTTGGTTTTAGTGATCAATCACTTCAGTGATTAGCCAAGTCTAAATTAAATGGCTGTGGCCGTAAATATCACACTGTCTATGGAAGCCACCAGGTTGTGGTTGTGACCGTGCCTGCAGACATTTCCCATAGATTTGATTCCCTGTCCTGGCCATAAAATTTGGTCTCCTTTGTTTCATTCTGATAAGAATCCACAAGTCACCATGTGGAAAATTGGACAAATGTGATATCTCTCTGACTTTTCCAGTGATAAATTCAAGATTTCAAGTTGTACTTTTGCGTTGGGAAGATGTTAATTTTACTTACAGGTTTTGCCTTACTGTACACCGGCTTATATTCATAAACACTGTATACTCAGTGCCTGTCCAAGAGCTAATGAAAAAATTTCATAATTGTACTTGTGTGGGACTCAAACCCACGACCTCCTGCTTACTCGTGCAGATGTCCAACCACTCTACCATCGAGCTTGGTGGGGTTGGCTGGCCGGTCACTGTGAATTGTTTCAAGATGTACTTTGCGTCAGGGAGATGCAAATTTGAATTAAAGGATTTGCCGTTACGCTAACATATATTCATAAACACTGTATACTCAGTTCTCGTCTGAGAGCTAATAAAAAATTCATAAGCCTACTCGGGTGGGACTCGAACCCTTGACCTCCTGCTTGACTGAGCTTGGCGGGGTCGGCTGGATTTCCGAGCCCCACCCAAAATAAGCTTATGAATTTTTTCATTAGCTCGCAGACAAGCACTGAGTATGCAGTGTTTATGAATATGTGTCGGTATGAGGGCAAAACCTTGAATTCAGATTCATGTTTGTTGGTGGGGTTGCAGTGAGGTCTTGGGGGTTGGGCTGTTTTGTATTGAAGACTCGACAAGACTGCGTAAAGAGCCCACAGAGTCAACCCACAAAATAATGCAGTTACAAATCATTCAGGCCCGAGCCAGGCCATATGCTGTGCAACAAGTGAAATATGACAGAGGCATTTTATCCAGTCATTGTTTCTCCCAACCTTCTTCTAGCCTGCCTTTTGATTTGACTGGTAATGTGACATGCAGTAATGTTGTGATTAGGTTACAGCTGGGATGGATTGTTCAGTCAGAAACATGTATAATAATTAGTTGGTATTCTTCCATTTTTGTATCTTCAGAGTCAACGCCAGGTATCTTCCTTATTTGTTCAGTTATACATTCTTCTCTTTGCTATGGGTAGCATTTGCTTGCACTCCCTCTCTCTCTCTCTCCTTTCCCGATGGAAACTCGCTTTCAATTTAAAACCGTGCAAAAAAGTTGAACTTGTCAACATGCCCCTTTTCCACCGTTGCAGAATTTGAATGGTTACCAAAGCAATCATCTTCAGTGCATGACGCCTTAGAAATTTTCAGATGTGACCATGGAAAATACTAACAAGTAGTTGGAAACAAGAGTTTGTAGGTAACAAACAATCAAATAAGAAGTCAAAACAAATCTAAGGTATTAGTAAATCAGATTTGGTTTTCCATTATGATTGCTGTGATTACTGCACATATATTGACACAGTTAAAAAGTAAAAAAAAGACATACAAAGAGTTTTGTAGTGATGAATATAGTTGTGTAAATTATGTATGTAAATAAGCTTAATGTTTCTTTTAAATATCACGCTATTAAGTAATGTTCAGTAATGAAGCACCTGGTTTAAGCTGAATTGACTGTTTTGTCGGCTGTAATTTTGTTTCAAAAGGGGGTGTAACTTCCACACAGTTCTTGAAAAGGTTTCAGTGTTTGAATTTAATTCATTGTGGTTTGTTAGTTTGGGGGGTTTTTGTTTTTTGTATTTTCTTTCCAAAGAGAGGCTGAATTTGGAACTGTGCTTAAAGCAAGTCATAATGGTGCAGGCATTCGATGCTGATGCAAAGAAATAGAACTTTACTTCACTAATCTTGTCAGAGACTGTAGTAAGACATAAAAATGCCAATACATTTGTGATTGTGTCAAAACAACACAGTGATCAGCTTTCAAAAAAAACCAAAACCTTGGTGACCCTTGACTCGGGCATGAGTCATTTTTGTTTGCCTTTGCACATAATTTTGGTCTCTGAAGATGCAATTTCAATATACATTGAAAAAATGCAAAGAATGCTATTGGTGCATTGCATTTCTCCACTTCCTTTCTGCATTGGTTATTTTGGTGAGAATAAAAGGAGACACTCTGGGTGGCAACTTTCTTCTAGGTGCCATCCACATGCACAACCGTGTAGAACAGGGTAGTGATTTTCTCATTATGGCTGAAAATTGGAAACGTGATGGTGTAAATGAGTATCTCTTAAATGGTATATTTATTGTGTTAAGTTCTGTATTTTTTTTATTTCAGGCAGTTAGTAAGTGTGGACATCTCCAAACCTTTACAGCATGGTTAGCACAACAAAAACAAACTTTGTTCAATCCTTCCTCCCCTGTTTAAGTTCTAGAACCACAACCACAGCATCGTATCAGTATTTTCTTCAGATTTTTGTAATCAAATTCAGGTTGTACAGTTCAGACAATTTAGGTGGTGTCTTCTGCCGGACACCTCTGACTTCTAAAGAAAAGGTTTGTTTGTTTTTTAATTTTTTTTATGCTGCCTTATCACGCTAGTGGGCTTGTAACTGTGAAAGTGTAGATAACATGTCACAGTAATTCAATTGTATATTATAAATATTTAAAACAAAAGATCTCTTTAAAAATATCTGATTGTACATGCATTATGTGTATTTTTCCGTCCTGTAAACTCTTACACCGGTGTTGGTATAAAAAAAAATCATCATCTGTGAGATGAAACTGTCTTCTTTTGTCTGTTGCAGTGGAGGAACATGGTTTCCCTTTTGAGAAAAGACTTTTAGTTTGCTGTGTTTTGCGCAAATTTCTGTTAAGGGGATAAGATGGGGGGGGTTCCATTGGGAAAAAAGACCTATTTCAGTTCAGAAGTTGCAGTTATTTTTGCATGGCAAGACTCCTTAAGAACTTATAATTGATGTGACTAACTCCAAACCATCTAGCTATTAACATATTATTTTCAGTGTTTCTACCCAGAATTACATTTAATAGCCTCCAACACCCCCTTCTCAATGGTGTTTTCTTTCCCATTGGCTTTGCACCAGAGGCTTTTTCTCCTTAAACATTCATGATGGCATCATTTAACTTCAACCCTTCAGTCGCTCACTTTTTGGTTTGTTTGCCATAAGTCCTTCTTGAGTTGTATTTCGACAGCTCCAGACTTTGTTAGCTGATTTCATTGGGGGCTCAGGGGCCCAGTTCTGTTTGAGCATGACAGACTATGCCACAGAACAGTTTTTTTGGAAAGTTACAGTATTTGTTTTTCTGCAAAAAAAGTGGGCAATTGAACCGAACTGTTCTGTTGTTAATTGATGCACTCAAAAGAATTTCTTGTAAATCTCTGCTTCCTCGCACATTGTTAACTCTAATTTTCTTTCCCTTTTTGAGACCTTCAAAAAAGGGAATGTGGATTCCCCAAACAGTTGCTTGTTAAGATTTTAGAATGTTTCCTTATTTTGCGGTATTTGGGGTCATGTGTTTACTTAATCAAGCATTTTGTGATTAATTTTGGACATCTCTGTTATATGCAACACTGTTGTGTATCTTTGAAAAGTTCAGTGTAAATTAACTGTATGAGAGGTTAATGTCTAGAGTACAGTCAATATATTCAGGTGTTTTGTAAATAAAAATGAAAAAAATGATTTTCCCCCTTTTTTTAAACACATGCACCCTCTTGTTAAAAAGGTGAACTAATCTAGTAAAATGGATGATGTAAGACATGCTTGGATTTTGCAGCACACGTCTTTCTTCACTTGATAGTAATTTTTTGTCCTTTCTATTGCAACCTGGAGCTCTCTCTGGTTGTTGCAGGCATATTGGCATGATTGGTCGGTTGTTGGCCAATCGGCCGGGGGGGAGGGACAAGATTATGATCCCCCATTAGAGTTTTGGTACCGTTTCATTTTTGTTTCCTCTCCAAGGTGCGTAATATTCCCTCAAATTTAGCATCACACTTTAGAAAGGTTAGATTGCATCAAGAAATTGTCACCCTCCTCCCCCCCCCCAAAAAGTTCCTGGGCCGGCCCACTGTCGGCTGTCAGACACGATGGCTAAGGGATTAAATCCTCTTGGTGGTGAACAAGCTCTTGGGCAGCCTTGGCTGTTGAAGTACACACCCCCACTCTCTGATCTACAGGATCGAGAGCAAATAGGTTGATGACGTGTCTGGATATAGCAGCTGGTTGGTAGACTAGCCAGCCTGCAAGCTTGTTTCTTGAATGGTGAGGTGGGTGAGTGGTTGGAGAGGTAGGGGAACTGGCTGCCAGCATTCTTACATGTTACATTCATTCTTACATTCAACAAGCATCACAGAACAATTGGTCTTCAATACTATTCACCCTGATGTTCCGTAATAAGCATTATTTTGTGGGTCACTTCTTTTAAACAGTTTGAAATGAAAGGGAGAGGATTGATACCGAGCAAAGGATGGAGGGATAGCTGAAGAAATTGACATCAGAAGACACTGATCTTTATGGACGTGTACATCAACTGTACGAAGCCAAACCCGCCATATTCCTTTTCCCTAACACATTTCCAGTGGAAGGAACTATGAAAAACTTTCAGAATTGAGAACTTATGCTAGTTTGGTCAGAGATATGACTTTCAAAAGTGTGGAACCCAACATTTTGAAGGTCAAATCCAGCGTATTTAGGTGTTTATTCAACATTTTTTCCCAAAACTTTTCCTCAAAATTGTTAAATCAGCACGTTTAATTAACAATTTAAATGCTGGATGAGAATTGAAAATAATTGATTAAACATTTAAAATGCTGGATTGAAGACTTCTAAAATGTTGGCACTGGCAGAACTCCTAGGAGTTTTTAGCAGGTACACGTAGTAGGTCATTGCCCTTCCCTTCCCCACGATCGTCGAAGTATGGCAACTGGGCGGGATCCCGGTTTGGAAAAAAAGAGGCTGGTATCAAGAGGTAGGTTTTAAAGGCAGATGGTGTTTTCCCCTTCTAGTTTTGCCGATGATTGTGGCAAACCCGGGTGGGTTGGGTTAAAACCGATCCCGGTAAACCATCCGCTAAACTGTTTCGGACCATGAAAATAGTATCACTACGGCATTATTCGGCTTGGTGCGTTAGTTTTAGGAGGAGGGGATTGCTTCAGTAATATCTAACTAGAGATCTTCTCTGGTCAATGGTAATACATAGTTAACACTTAATTAATATAACGTTGGCTCGTTGTTGACACATAGCATCCATGGTAACATCCAACTTTGCACTTAACCGTTTGAATGCGACAGCCGCCAAAATTATGAGGGCGCTATTGGACTTCACAAGCAGAGAGCTATAGGCACGTACGTACGTGGCCGTGGCCGGCCGCGGTGGCACGATGTACGACTATGCATGCGTCACATTTTGGTGGGTCGCACTACCCTAGCCTTTAGCGCAGCATGCATGCATGCACCGTGCACCGAGCTAATTTGCAAAATGGCGACAGGCGGTGGACTAGTATCTTCTAATAAACGTTCCAAAATCAGCCCAGGAGGACCATCAACTTCATCAGAAAAGGTAAGTGGGCTACCCAAACCATAAAAGATTTGGACGAATCGTCCAGGGTGACGCTAAGGGATGTGCTGGCTGCAAGCTTGGTAGCAGATGTAGGCCTTGGCGATGGAAAGGTTTGAAGACGATCGGCGTACGTAGTGTTTGGATGTGATGTTGATTTAGTGAAATGACCCGGAAATTCTTTACGCAATTATAGTGTACTGCATGCATGTGGCCGTGGTGGTATCTTGATTTTCAGCGCACTACATGAACAAATTGAACAGATGTGCACGTGTACAAAATTTGCAGTGGAGAACGCAGCCGTGGCAGCCCGTAGCTCCTTCATTCAGTCGGTATGGCCTTGGATTTGTCAAACTGGAAAGAATTCCACACATGGACGCTGCACATGCTGCATTGAAAGCAATGAAATGTCCTAAAAAGTGAAGTGAAACTATCAAGGTATTCACTTAAAAAACACTTCACATTTTTCAGATCAATAAGTTGTAGGTTCATGCAGAGGGCGTCAAGTGGCATCCATATACGTGTACGTGGAACTCCTTCCGTCAAGCAGTAGAGGCACAGATCACAGCTCAGGGACTGTTCCTGGATTTGGAGAACACCCTTTATTTGGGGGCAACACCACTCCCCCAAAAGAGAGAATATCCCCATAAAAGGGGACTTTTTCCCAAGTGGCCTTGAGTAAAAATATCCATGCACTATTGTCATTTTTTTCTCCCACATTGTCCATACATTTAAGATATTACGATTGTTTTTTATGAACTTTGCGCCATGCCACTCAATTAAGTATATGTAATTTGTAAAGGATTGATATATTTGGAAAAATTGTTCTGATACAGTTTTTTTTCCCACCCATTATGCTAAGTTGCATACTCTTGCTCATAATCGTAGAAGTAAATGGTAGGATTTTTTTAAAACAGCAGCCTTGGGTGTTTTTTCCTGCTGAATAGAATTATAGCAATGAAAGAATCCCCAGGGCAATGGTACATGGAGGATCTCCAAGCCCACTTGAAAAAAACAAACAATTGTTCCCACTTCGGGGATATTCTTTGTTTTGGGGGACTGATTTTGTCCCCAAATAAGGGGACTTCTCCACATTCAGGGACAGTCCTTTCGTTGTGATCTGCACCTCAACTGTCAAGCTTCCTCCAATGTGCTAGTCTGAGAAAAGTTATGATGGGCCCCCAATGAGAAAAAGCCTGTAAAGATTCAAGCGCAGAGCAAGGAAACAGCATGGAAATTTATTTGTTGTAGGCTAATCTATGTTTTGGCTGAGGCTGTATCATGAGCCTACATGTATGTGTGTTGTAGCAAATACACTGTACATGTATGTCTTCTTGAATGTTTTACAGTGTAATAATTTGTTGTATAAAGGGATACAAAATTAATACATAATGTACAATTGACATTGACATCTTGCAATCAGTGTGTGAATGGTGTTGATCAATGGTGAGGCTTTGCCTCCTAATGTACATGTATGAGATTCAACTGCAAGCCTGTGTGTAAAAAACTTTCTGTCAGTTTGACAGTACATGAATGTACATATGTACAAATATGTTATTACCCTCCTGTAATAAATTGCAAATAATACAGTAGAGTGCATAAATAAATAGTTAACCCTAATCCCAGAACTTTTCATTAAGTTTGGAAGGATAGTGGAAGCAAGGGACCACTTACACTTTTTCTGTGGATTAGGTTTGATTGTACATTTGTGACCTGTCACCACAAAATGAGCTGAAAGTCGGAATTTTCAAAAATTGAGATATTGATATATTTGAATTCAGCAAAAGAGAGCTTTCCAGTGATATGTTTTTGGAACACTTAGGGTAAAAGTATAAGATAACAGTGTGACATTATTTTGGCGGCTTTGTGTCTTTGTTCCCAACATTGTGTCAACATTTCTGACAAGGTATGAATAATGCTATCGTCAAAATTGCTGACAAAATGACGTTTTTTAATATATGATCCTGCAAAATATTTATAATTGAATAGGAGACGGCAAAATCTTTCCAAATATTACAGTACCCCCCCAATTGACCTCCACTTCAATATGAGTTTAAACCCTCAAAAAAGAACACAGCAGAATGCGACTCTATGCGCATTTTGTTGTGACATTTGTATAGTGTGCCATTTTTTGTAAGTGATTGCGTAAACTTTGAGGATTTGGAAGTGTGTTACCTAAGAATGCTCCTAACAGAAGCTTTGGTAACTTTATTGGGTGAACAGGAAAGAAAGGCCATGTCAGGCTGGCAAGGTAGTTCTTTCCTCGCCTTCTGCCTCTGTGGTCGCGGGTTTGATTCTCGGCCCCGTCCACATGTGGATTGGGTTTCAGTCCCTACCTGATTCCATGGGTTTTACCCAGAATATTGCTCTGGGGTTTTCCTCCCACCTCTAAACCTGTAACTGCTTCCTACCATCTCCCCATTACTGATGTTGGTGAATGTGGGTCGTTTGGTGGCTGCCCGAGACGTCCTTGTATGCCATAGGCTCAACCATGTTTAAATGTATTCATTGTCCCATGCTTAATGTCTTCATTGCACAGCGCACTTGAACATATCGATATGAAATTTGCGCTTCCTAAATTATTATATTAGATAATTATTCCACCTGCTTTTTTTTTCACCAGCTATCTCGTTTTCAAGTTTTTCATCACATGTTTTTGTGAAATTGCATCTAACATTGGGAGAAACCAAATATTTCAAATCAGAATCGTAATGAAAGCTTTTTAAAAAGCAGACATTCAATTATTTGAATTTGCCAATCTCCACAGGATGCTTTCTTACTGTTCACGTAGCGACAAAATCAAGCATCCTTGTGGCATGCATGCTACATGTACCCTGTTGTTAAGGCCTTTTCCTTGATGGCAACTAGATGTAGAGCCACTTGTCAATCGTTGAAGTTATCCGGGATATCCTGAACTAATTATTTTTCTTCCCAACCCTTTCCCCCCCCGCACAAAATGTGGCATTAGTGGAGAGGAGTAACCTAATGATCTAGCCAGTCGGAAACTTTACTTTTGCAGTGGGCAATATAAAAGTTGGTTTCCCAGCAGGGTGACAGATTATTTGCCAAGCATCAGTGTTCATCAGAATTTTCAGAAGGGCCACTGACTTTCTCAAAGTGCTGTTATTCCACGTACCATCTGTAGGCATTTTCTAAATAGCACAAAAAGCATTGGGTTGCTTTTGTTTTTGTTTTTTTGTAACTTAACTTGCTCCTAAAAAGACTGACTTGAAAACAGTTATTGGACATCACCATTTTAAAACACTGGCTTTGAGATGCACCAGTCAGCAGCAAAAAACAACTGATATCCACAATGGTTTTTGTCATGAAAACGGGGACCAATAAAAGTAATCACCAGTTCCCCTGTCCCACTATCCTAGGCACTCGGAAAACAGTACAAACTTCGGCCAGTCAAAAGTCACAACCACAGGCTGTGATTAGATTACGTGTGCTCGTAAAGCCTTGTTCCCATTGAACCTTTTCCTTCGTGGCCATGCGGAAACATACATGTACCACAACTTTTGTGTCAGTCTACGGCGCATTCCCACTTGGACTTCTTTAACTGCAGCGAAACGTCTATTCGCTGTGCAAGACTAGCTGAATGATGGTACGTACATGTATTCCCTGTTCTCATTTATGCTGACACCTGCAGTACAGACGCACAGACACCCTGACACTCATTGTTTACATCCCGCAAACGCTCCATCTACTTTACTCCACCGTCTTCAGCATTGTGGTTGTCAGAGCCAGCTGGCAGGCCAAACAGAAAGTCCAGTGAACTGCTGCATGTTTGAGCTGACCATTGATCTTTTTCAGAAAGTGTACTCATAACTGAGCTCGGGAAAAGTCATTTCTTTGGAAGAGACATCTTGTGGGGAGAAAGTTCACTAAAAAGAACGGTCTGAGTTTTTTGTCTTTTAGTTTCAAATATTCAGTTTCAGTATTCAGATTGGGAGAATAGAATTTTTATGCATTTTTTCCAAAATTTGATCTTAGTCTTAACACTAATTGCAGAATATTCTGAACGTCTGCTTCTACCAAAACATTTAGTTACAAATGATGTTTATAGTTAGACATCAAAGTATTGGCAAGAGTCACAAAATTCATCTTTTATCTGCCATCTTCATAAGGAAACTGGCCAAAGGCCAACTCCTGCTATAAAACAAAGTGGACAAGCAACGGCGTAGGCCCTAGAAAGAACCCTTTGGTAGATTCTTGTTTTTTGTCTACCACATCATGAATAAGATCACACGCAGTCAGAACACCACCGTTGCATGTAAAAGTCAGGTTAAATGTCACTTCACACTTCTGCTTAAATTCTGTTCATCAACATCTCTACATTTCCCTTCCCTTCATCCACAGAAGTCTACTCCCTTACCTTTCAAACTCAAAGTGAGAGGGAAAAATGGAACAAAACATGTCTTATTTGGGAGAACAAGAGCTGATTATTGAATGAAACTCGAGAGTTGTGAACTTGAGGGGTTGATCTGGATCCAGTCAAAAGACACGACCTACATAAACTTTGCAAGCAGTTGACCATAATTTTGTGTATTGTATCAAGTACATACATGTACATTAGCCCTAACCCCCTGGGGTGTATGTAAAATCATATTGAAATTGGAGGATTTGGGACTGTTAGGGTTAGTGTAACACATCCATTCAGCACCCAACACCTTGGTTACTTTACTCATGACTCATGTACGATATGGTTTATGCTCAAAGCAGAACAAGCTTCTTTTTCTTGCCCGCTGGAGTCCTTCAGAGTTGTTCAACCCGCCCAACAGCTTCGTTTCAGTTTACTGGTCAATCAATAATGATGCTTACATCACATAGATTCCAAGCCTACCCCTTGCAGTGTGCAGATATCACCCTCTGTGTAATGTGTTAAGCACTGGACAGGGAAAAAAACGCCCTGCAGTGGGTCAAGTTTAATTGAACCAGAAATACACTCAAAGGCATCATACCTCAATCAATATAGAAATTGGGTCTCCCCGAGGTCTGCAGCATGTATGGGTGGATAGTCACATATGCATGTTCAAGATCAAGTTGGAATTGGAAGTGCATGTACATGTACATTTGTATATTAGGAGTTTTCATAGTCCTTACTAATGCATAGATTTTCTGTGCCAGTTGGTCTGGTAAAGTGATGAAGTTCTACATGTACATACCTAACCCAGGGCTTGGGCCTGAGCGAAGACCGTTCTGTGAAAAACTAGAGTCCTGTTACATGTGTAGATTTGCCCAAAACACCTCCTTTTAAACATGTGGAAATGTAATCTTGTCTACCTGTACATGTACCGGCACCAGGAAAGTACCGGTACCAGAAATTGAGACTGCTGTGTTGGTTGGTGCACCTTACAGTATGACTTTTAACTTATTATTCATTAGCCTAACTCCTAACCCTAAGGTGTGTGAAATCATTTTAAGATTGAAGGATTTTGCCAGTTGGGTCAGTATACATGTACTGTATAGGTGTCAACCAAACTCTTCAAGTACATGTACAGTACATACATGTGCATTGTAAATCAATGATGTGTATCCTAGTAAGCCTTTTGGGAGTTAAATCCGAATAAAATCTGGTACACTGAGTTCTTTAAATTCACGTGAACATACGATAGCAACCTGAATTCTCCATACTAAAAACACTGTTGCTGTTTTTCGTGATTCGGGGCAAGCTTTTGCTTACCGGTAGTTACATGTACATAAGAGACACCTTGCACCAATACACTTCTCAGTGGATAAGAAGGACACACAGGAACCAGCCCATTCCAAAGATGGTGGTCTCTATGCAAAAGCTTGCCCCGAATCACAAGGTAAAGCAAAAGTGTCTTTAGTCTGAGGAATTCAAATTGTTACTCCATATTCCTCTCCTTGAGTACCAGTTGAAATTGATGGTACATGTTTTGAAGGAAAATTGCCCATTGGCTTCCAACAGAGTTTTTTGAAGGATTCCAGTTTCTTCCAGTTTTGTCAGTAAAGAATCAGATTGAAGGATTCTATTTTGGATTGGGCATGGGCATCATGTTAAGACAAATAGTTTCACGTGTAGAAACGGAAGTTTTCTATTGGGATAATTGTAATACAGCTGAGAGTTTTGTTCTGTCCTAAAAGCAAACCATCTCCAGCTAATGCATTGGTAAATTTTACTGAATTGATCAACAAGGATTGTTGAAATTGACAAACTGCTTCAAGAATTTGTTTCTCTTTTTTGTCACTCTTAAAACACGAAAGACATGGTATGTTTCCGAAAACACAAGTCCTTTTTATTCTGTCCATTTTCTCTTGAAATAGAAAATAGCTGGGACTACTCACAGTCACACCAGTTGTTACAAAATTGGTCAGTCATGTGGTCAGTGATGGGGCATCATTGATCAAATGTCACCTTGTAGGCCTACACTTATACACTTATCTTGCCATGCCTTTACTCGTCGTCGTTGCCAGGAATGGTTTGAGTGGTTTTGCCTCAGTTGCCCAAACATTGGTCAGACATTTGAAAGGACAACCACAGACTTGTGCTGTTGGATGTATTGCAGGTAGAGCCGAGAAATATCCACTGGCACAAAACTGCAACTCGTAGACATCGAAACCTTCAACCCTGGATGACGAATATCTCTGAAGGTTTGTGTCATGCTTCTTGCCCATATACAGTGTGTATCAATGGTGCGTGACATGTCTCTCTAGGAACTGATGCTTTCATGTGACTTTCATTTGAGCCCCAGTGGTTATTATTGCAAAACCGTACTGTTACTGGAGAACTCTTTAGCTGTACTGCATTGTTGTGTTTTGTCATGCCATGGTTACGTGCTCATTTAGTGGAACATTGGTCACATTTTTGCATTGTAGCAGACAGCACCAGTGCAGCTCTCGAACTGAATCCACAAAGTTGTGGCAGAATGGATAATTCCGTTGTCAGGAAAGTTGAGACTGAGCTTGCTGACAAAAAAAAATGTCCCCATAACATTTTGGGGTCCCCACAACTTGTGTTAAGTCCCCCACAACTGTGGAAGGAGCGTGTTTGCATACTCGGTTTTGCAGATATGTACGAGGGCATGTAACTAAACATACTGTACACAAACAGTTTTTTAAACACGAGCAATTCTTGTTAGAGCTAGAGCTAGGGCAAGATCTCAGTTGGTTGTTGAACTGCATGTTCTGTACACAAAGCTACAGCTACAAACAATTTTTTCTTTGTTACAAATGAGTGCTTCTGAAAATAATGGAATTTTGAAAAAGTTACTCTACAGCCGTGCATGTATCAGGGGTGAAATTTGTCTGGATTTTGCCTGAGTTGGGGCCCTCCAAACCTTTGGAGATTATTTTGGGGATATTTTACTTTCCTCTAAACTCACCCTTGATGCATTGATATGTCAAATTTTGAATCTGGTGAACCTACATGTACATTGTACAACCAACAACCTTGCCAATCCCCCTCGTTTCCTATGTTGTGCATACAGGCTGCCAGACCACAAAATTACATGTATGTTCCTGTTTTTGAATGACTGACCAAATGTGAATGTGATAAAGTAACAGTAGACCTTTAGAACTTGATTTATGTCTGCTTTCATGTTCCCAATGGAGGTCACATACGTGTACATGTACATATATCCAGATGTGAATTCTCAGCGTGGATTGTTCACGTCAGCTTGGGAACCGGGCAGCCAATTCTCCTTAGTTGAAATAGTTTTTCTCTTTCTGCTGTTGTTGCAGACCACCCGATATCATCACAGACTTTCCAAGCTGTGCCAGGCAGTTTGGAACTCTCTAGTGTTCACATTTTGAGCCAACTCCAGGCAAGCTGTTGATGAGAGTTTTCAGTTAATTCCAAAAAGAATGTGCAGTGACTCATATCTGTAAAGTGTCCCTGCTAAAAACAACTTTAGGGGGAGTTGTGCTTAATCATCGGCATTACATCGACATCTGCGAGTAACACCCAGTCAATTTGTATAGTTAGTACTGGTACATGTTTTTGGCATAATTCCCAAGAAATGGAGGACTCATATACAGCATGTGAAACACCAAAATAATATTGAACCAGCAAAGCGATTTTAAAGAAAATTACTGAGAGTGTAGAACAAAATCCAGGAGAAACCTGAACAGGAAATAGGCCTAGCGGTACATGTACTTGTAGATCCAGACCTTGAATTTCGGTACATGTACTTGTAGATCCAGACCTTGAATTTCGGTACATGTACTTGTAGATCCAGACCTTGAATTTCGGTACATGTACTTGTAGATCCAGACCTTGAATTTCCTTGTTTGGGGGGCAGGGCCAAATGGCCTCAATGGGTTGGTCAAAATAAGGGGGCACTGAAGCCAATGATAGGGCAACGAGGCCTTCATGTAAATAAAACTTTGAGCACCAAGGCCATTTTTGCTGTTTACAGGTACAAGTAGTAATGCAGTCTTATGAAGCTCTTTTGTACACAGTATTAGATTATGGAGAGTCTGTGAGATGTTTGTTGAACCATGAAATGAATTAGCAAGTGGAGATACCGGTCATTCTTCATCTACCAAGTTGGGGCAAAAAATATACAGGAGTCCATTCGCATAAGTTATACCAGTTGCATGTGTTGACAATTTACTCATTCATTCAAATTACTAGAGTGGGTAGAGTATAGTACCCTGTTACATGTACATTCACTTACATATACACATACAGTACACATTGATTGGGAAATGACTTGCTGATTACGGCAATGAGGTACAAATTAGAAATTAAACATTGTGCCTATGAAGCAAGTTTTGTACAAAGTTTGTGGGCAGTAATGAACTTTAAATATTCTAATCACCGATGATTTTTTAATAAATAAGTACATGTACGCTGAATTTCTGCCCTGACCGTCAGACTGTATTTGGACAGATCCAGGGTTCATCCTTTCACAAATACTTCAGGTCAAAAGCTAAGAAGAGGTTTAATCATAACAATTACCGGTAAGGCAAAAAATAGTTTTGCTTTAATACAGGTAGTCGTTTATTCCTAATTCAATACACTGCCATCACGGTTATAATCGAAGAGTGAGACGGTAACTATTTATTTGGATATTCCCCCCTCCCCCGACACACTTTCATTGGTAATGAATGGTAATCATATGCAATATCATTAAGGAAATTATTACATGTGTCTCTCTAGACAGTGATTGCCATTTATGTTACTTTAAATGCAGTCATGTTTTAGTTATTGATTGTAATTGTAATGTCAATGAATGTAATAACTTACTATCTCATTTTACTTTGTAACAAGTCAATGGAAAGTAAAAGAAAAATAGGGTCGGTACTACATACACATGTACCGGTAGGTCAGAATTTTTTTTGGGGGGGATCAATTTTTTGTTCTGGGTTGAATGACGTGAATGGGGACGAAAGCTTCCAAAAATCGTCTCAAAAGTGATAGAAATCTGTCTTAATCTACATGTATGTACAGATTTCTATCTGTCTTAATCTACACGTATGTACAGATTTCTACAGTCAACAATTCACAGGAATTATGGACAATTCACACAATGCTATAGTCAGGTAATCACGACGGCAAACTGGCCAACAGTGTCTATGTATCATGCGTAAGTATCCGTGATGCTTCCAGACTGGCAGGTGAATAAACCTCATGCCGCGGTAGGAAATTTTGTTAAATCTTTAAGTACAAGCAAAATAACCTCAAATTGAACTTGTGACCACAGAAAATACCAGTACATACCGTACATAGACAAAAGACCAAGTTGTATGAATTAACTTGCAGAAATCCTCTCGCAATATCAATTTTTTTCCGACCTGCAGCTATTGCCGATGTAATGTAATCAACCGAAGCATTTAGACTGGTTGGCACATTTTCATCACACGTTCTTTTGCTTGGGCATGGCGCAGTGGGAACCAGCGCGGCTTTGTTTTAATGCATTGAAATTAGTGCACGTTTTCACCACTTCAACAACGACATGCAAAGGGAACTTGTGAAAATACAGAAGTTTCTTTTCAAAAATTGCAAATGTTAGTAGGAAAACATATGAAAATGATGAGCAGCAGAATATTGATCCTGTTTTAGTTCAGTTCTAAGGGTGATGCACGATGTTCACCAAGAGAGCATCCACGGCCATGGCAGAAAAGGGGCAGGCCATTTTGGCCCTGTTCAGTGTGGAAATACTAAAGGCATCAAGGCCATAAAGGAGGGCCAACAAGGGCCCTTGTGAAATTTGGAGCCCTGTAGATCACATTGTCACTTCATCTTGTATCAATTTCCTTTTTTTCAGCTGAGTGAGAATTTGAAGATTCAAAACGGGACAAAGTATCAGTTGCCTACTGGGTCAATGGACTCTGATGTCACACACGGTATTGACTGTGCCACGAACATTTGACAGACATGACAGAGGAGATTAGATAATTTAAATTTGTTCCATGTACATTTGTGTACAACCTGAATCAAAATTGCTCTACTTGCTAAGCCACACTGTTCCCATATACATGTAGAAAAGATACTTGTAGTTGTTTTTCTGTGCATTTTAATGGTACAAATGCGTTTTTTTCATACATTTTTGTGAGTTAACTGTACTGGCACTATCCATGGAACATTAGTGCTTTTCTTAGATTGGACTCAATGTATCTCGTGCATGTACAATACACGCACTGGTACCTTGTAAAATAAGGGAATAAACATGTACTGTGCCAGTCTTAAATGTGCATTAAACAGCGCTTTCCCACTTGAATTGGGAAAAGGTGGATCTTGATCCGGCATTTTGGTGTGATCGTTATCTTACCGCAACGAAAGCGCAAGTTGTGTTCCCACTTGCGCTTGATCCACCTTTTCGGATGGAAATGTCGAGCCCGAGAGGTCTCTGAGTTCAGTATTGCACATGCGCTAGCTTGCTGAGTGCACGCTCTGTGGCAGTGTTGCGTGCAGGGGTGGCATGCGTGTGACCCTGCGGTGTTTTGGGTGTGGAATTCTACTGACGTGACGACCTTGATTCGGACCAAATGTGCAGCCTAGTACGTTGTCTGTTCAAACTTTACTTCAGTTTTTGATACTCTGTTACACGCTGCGGGCTATACGCTAACACGGAATTAGTTTTTGATGGAAAGCAAGTGAAATTACACAAATGGAAAAGGTTAAGAAACGGACGAATGCGCAATGAAAATTGTGAAAGGGCTAGGTACACATCGCGGCATGCATGCATCACGCATGAGTGGTGACACATTTTGCTAGCCTGTAGTTCAGCAGTTGTTTATTGTGCATGCTGTGCACGTTAAAATTTCACATGAGCTACATGTACACACCAAAAAACATATTTCTTTGTTCATCAGACCACAGAAGTTTTGCACCACTCGTGCACGGATGGATGTTGTCAGGTCAAATTGCCGGATCAGATCCATCTTTTGCGTTCCCATCTGATCATGATCCACCAATTGCAGGATCAGATCCACCAATTGGGGGATCTGTATCCTACTCCAGTCCAGAGGAGGATCAAGAAAGGTGGATCTGATCCTGATCCACCTCATAACGGTTAGCGTTCCCACTACACACAATTGCCGGATCAAATCCACCAGTTGGGGGGATCTGATTCGGCAATTTGGCAAAAGGTAGATGTAGATCAGATCCCCCAATTGGTGGATCAAGTGGGAATGGGCCGTAAGAC